AATTTTAGATGCTTAATTAATTTAATAATTCATATAATTTATTCAAGGCACAAAGCAATGTCTAAATAGTCGACTAGGCGTTTTTTACATAGTGTTGTATTACTTTATGCAAAGTATAATATATTTAAACGTTGTCTAAAAGAGAAAAGGAAGAACTAACTTATAATACTTAAGTAGATTTTAAATAAAATCAACTGTCCCCATGGAAAAGCCTACTACTTTATTTTCTATAAATGATACTAAAAATGTATCAGTTTCCTATTTACTACCTACTTTAGTTTCCTTTATTGAATTTTCAACTTGAAGTTTAACTGGTTTGCAACAAGTTTAAAGTGTAAAGTGAGAAATTAATAAAGTTTGTTGGTCATTGTTAATTTAGTTTTATTTTATTCCTTTAATTTAAAATACTAAATGATAAAATAAAAAATATATAACAATAGGTAACCAAAACTATATAATAAAAATAAGAAGTAATAATAATATAAACAAATATAAGTATAAACAATAGATTGCCAAAATTAGTAGTGTGCTATAATTATAAAATAAGAACAATTATAATTGTTCTTGTTAACTATTAAAATTAGGATATTTCTAAGTATACATTACTGTTAAGCTAATCTCTACATAATTAGAAATCCAGCACATATAGCAACAGTAGTAACTGTATGTGAATACTGAGCTTTGTATTATTAAGAGTCACTAAATATAAAGAATTGCTAAAGTAATAATTATTTATTTTGAATTACTTTTTGTTTACATATGTTTCTGTAAAGTTTTATGTTTATGTTAATGATGATAATTAATGCTGCTGATGATGATAATATTTATTTTTTTTTTTTTGAAAATGATTTATTCGAAAAGATTCTACTAAAGCTGCTGAGAATAAAAAATAATGTTTTTATGTATCATTTATACAAAAGTATTTGTATAAAGAAATATGTAAAAATAGATGTTTATAAATATTTATATTATATATAATTTTGTTTTTTATGTTTTTTATATTATTTTATATCATTTATTTAGTTACATTTTTTTAACTAAATAAATCATATAAAATAATATAAAATTTTCATTTATTTAGTTAAATTTATTCAGTTGAATTTTTTTCTTTATCTTTATTTAATAAAACTTTTATTCTTATATATTGATTTTTTCAAAAACTAATTTGAATTATTTTTTATCTTGACTTCTTCACAATTTGTTGTGATTTATTGACTGGACAATAGACTTAGCGTTCTCCATGTTGATACAGTTGATTGTGTTTGTTACAGTTGATTCAGTAACTAATATATTTACATATTTTTCAAATAAAAATTTGAAAAATTCAATTTTTTCAATAATGTTACAGTATCAGTTTTATCTTGGTTGTTTTGATGTTAATTCTTTCTATTGCAACAAATGAAGTTTTAAATACACTGTATTTTACTTTTTTATTATCAATAGCATAGATGCTTGACTAAACAACACCTCCTTTTCTATTTTTGTGGCCCCCAAAAAAGTTCTGTTTTAGAAATAATGTGCAAATATTTCTCATATTATATTTTAAAATTTTCTCATTTTCGTCTTGGTGCTTGGTCTATACGAGACAATATTTTTCCAAGATAAGATCTCTTACAAAATCAAGATTTTTCCAAAAGTTTTCCAAAAACTCATGTTTTATAATTTTTTATTATTATTAATGAACCATAAGTTTTCCACATTTATCAAATTAATGTTGGTTCCTGAAAAAACTTTTCAAAAGATTTAAGTTCATTCAAATTTACAGATGCCATTCAAAATTTTGCTCACATTGAATCAATGTTGGCTTAATTAATTTCAATGCATGTTCTAATTTTTATAACTTTTCTGATTTGAATCCAGTCATAATGTAGATGTTGAATTTATCAGCAGTCAGACCATTAGGATCTGTGAATTGAATTTTTTGTTTAACATTTGATTTTCTTTTCTTTCTTGGTTCTTCGATCTTTGGATTAGAGTTTGAAGTTGTTTAATGTTTTAAGGAAGCAAGAAGACGTAACTTAGGATCATTGAAAGCCTGTTTGACTATCAGCTGAGCTTAAGATGCAGTTTCCAATAAAAAAATAACATCATCACTGTTATTATTACTGGATCGAGTGAAAGAATATTTAAGCTTTTCGCTTCTTCAATGATTTCTTTATTTGATGAGAGTAAGAAAAATTTTTGGCTCTTCAAGAAACTTCTGGATTGTCAAGAAATTTTAGCAGACTAACAGTTAAGTTTGATCAAACAGTTAAGATCCAATGTCTGTTAAGAATTTCTATTTCAATTTCAAAACAACTAAAAATAAAACTTTTCTTCATTGCAATTTCTCTAACCAAAAACTCCAATGCACCTTCTGCAATTTTTAAGTCCGAATCATCACCACTCGTGATATCCGTAGCCATTTTACATGGTTGAAGAGTTGCTACTAATTCAAGAATGCTTGTCTCTAAATAATCAGGTCAATCATATCTTAATTAACTTTCTTTTAGTAAGAGTCTTTTTATAGCTTGAATCATGTCATAGAAAGTTTGTAACATGTTCAATGCACTGTTCAATCAAGTTCCAGCAATTTGAACTTGAGAATCAGTAATTTGAACATTGAGAACCAGCAATTTGAACTTGATTCCAAAAGATTAAGCACTTTCTTTAAGCTCTTTGACTAATTTAAGTTTGTGTTTGAATTTTTTTACAAATTTCACCAGGTTTAATTCCACCCGAAATACTGTGCTCAACTTTCTGCAGTGGCCTTGTAAGGCTAGTTTTGGAGTAAGGCTAGTTTTTTCTAATAAGTTTTGGAGTAAGGCTAATAAAGCTAGTTTTGGAGTTTGGGTTAAGAGAGACTTGCTACAAAGAATAAAAAAACAAAAAATGAGTATTCTCTTTAAAAAAAAAAAAAAATTAGTCTTCTTTTAAATATATATTTTGCATCTTTAATTTGACTGTAATGGTTTTTTAACTTGGGAATATTAGAAAAAATACATAATATATTTTCTTAAAAAAAAAAAGTTTAATTATCAATTTTAATAATCAATTTTATCAAATAACACTTATTGAAGTTTTTTTCTCTTAATTTGAACATAAACTTTTTTTGATGCTTTTGATACAAATTTTACAGACCTTTACACTTATTGTAAGTTCTGGGTAAACTAAGATTAGTAGTTCACAAAGCTACTCTAGTTCAAATGATATGAATAGGATAGAAGTTGGACCTCAATTAAAAAAACATCAACTAACAAGTACACGTGTTTAAGTTGATAGGCTTTACTTTTATTTTTAGACTTCAAGATTTGATTCCCTTATATGCACAGAGTTTGTTTAATCTTTTATTTTTTATTCATCATTTGACTACATAGAGTAGAGAAAGTTTTCTTAAAAACAACAAGAATTTCCTTAAAGATTTTAAAAAACCCTCAGTTTTATGCATCTGATTTTTGACTAATAGGGTCTTAACGTTTCTTTGAGTTGTTATTTTTACCATTTCAGGTATGGGGGAAGTGGTGATTTGTTTCATTAAAGTTCATTAAATGAGTTTCTCAAATTAAAAGGCTTTCTAATGTGACTGTATAAATTGTTATCTACACTGGTATTAGCATAAGTATTATTGAGTACAATGGCTTCGAAACTTTTAATGTTATTGTATTTATTAGTGTGTTTTTATGTCTTGGTCACCTTTACAACTCCTGCTCCAATTTTAGTTTTAATGTGGTAAATCTTTCTGAGAAAAAAGTTTGCTTTCTCCAGTAAAAGTTAGCTGATGTTCATTTATTCATAACTGTTCTATTAAGAATAAATTCAATATAATTGTCATGTTTTTATTTTTTTTGCTAGCTACTCCGATAATTCAAAAATAAGATTATTTAAGATTATTTAATTAAGATTATTTATAAATAATCTATTTAAATTTTGAGAGGTAGTTTACTAAACAGGTAGGGGTGAGCAAAACCAGATATCCGGTCTGGTTTGTTAAAATTTAAATCCGATTTTCACCTCATATCACTCACATTGATGTCAAGTTATTATATCTTGTGATTTTAGTGATCACCATAGTGATCCATGTTTTGCATGCATTTTTATTACTTGAAAAAAAGCAATAAAAATGGATGCAAAATTTGAAATATTGTAACAAAATTTAATTTAAAAATAAAGAGTTAAATGCGATGTTTTTTTTTTAATCTTAAAAACATTTATTGAAACAAAATATTACTTAATGATTAAAAAAAAATTGTATACTGACTTTTTATTTCTTTTGAGTATTTTATTTAATAATTTTAATTTTATTTAAATTAATTGAATGCTTCTAATCAATAAACATTTTTAATTAACCTAATTTTTGATTGAGAAAGTAAAGATTATTTTTAAATAAAATTTCTGAGAAATAAAAGAGTTTACTAATCAAAATACAAATAATAATAATAAAAAAAGTTTAACTCCTACTGTTTACCAATACACACTGAGTTATATTGTATACAATACGGTAGTGGTGTAGTGGTAGAGCGCTCGCTTCATAAACGAGTGGTTCCAAGTTCGATCCCCGCAACGTTCCTGGTAGTACCGCGCTCAACTCATTTCTCCGCGCAGCGGCCTTGTTCGTCAAGGTTCGTGTTTCGGAGTTATAGAGTTGAGAGAGGGTTATAACCGTAAATAAGTAGCCTCCTTGTCTGTAATGGCCTTCTCGGCCTTGAGGAGGTGAATTAAAATAAAAATAAAAATAAAAAAATACACTGTATACAATATAACTCAACTTTAAATAGACAAATGTTTAAAAAAAAGAAAAAGGTTAAACAATGTTGTCACTTAAATATAGCTTTGTATAACTTTTCATTTAACTATATTCAACTTTTTTTTTTCAATTATACTTACTCATATATAAACTTATAATAGAGAAAATTTTAATAACCTTGTCTTTTGGAATAAGTGCTCAAATAATATACTTTGAAAAAAAAAATTATTTTATTGATTTTATAATTTTTTATAAAGACCGTGTCTTTTGTTTTTAGAACAATGACTTGAAGGAAAAGTTAAGGTTAGAAACAGAGGGAAATATAAAATGGAAAAAAATTGAGAACGATTATCGAAAAGCCCAAGCTGTTGCAGATCATGCCTTTAAAGAACTTTTTGAAAAAAATAAACAGTTAGGAATTGCTAAGGTAATCTTCAAGTTATATATATATATATATATATATATATATATACACACACACACACACATATTTACAAACATATATATATATACACATATATATATATATATATATGTATGTATATATATATAAATATATATATATATATATATACATATATATATATATATATATATATATATATATATATATATATATATATATATATATATATATATATATATATATATATATATATATATATATATGTATATATATATATCAGGCCTTGTTTTAAATAAAAAAGTGCTTAATGCATTAGCTTAACGCGATTTTGATGTCATAAAATTATCTTTATTTTTTTTTATAGGCGTTAAGTGTTTTAACTACCGCAATAAATAAAAAACCACCAACTAGTTCAATTTAACAATTAATTCAAATAACTATAAACGTTTTAAATGTAAATTTATTATGAAAATTTTGTAATGTTTTCAATTGTTATTTTATTATTAATTTTAGTTCAATATTATTTAGTAAAATATATATATATATATATATATATATATATATATATATATATATATATATATATATATATATATATATAAAAATTTAGGTTTTTAAATTCTTTTTAAACTTATCTTGTTTAGCGTTTCAACTTGCGTTTTATAAAAATATAAAAAAGTTTTGTCTGCTTTGAGCATATTTTTAATACATAGTTTAGAACACGTTCGCCAGAAATTTAATTCATAAATTTTTTTATGTTATTGTAAAAATATTTTACTTTTTAAACAAATCACAAAGAAACAGAGCTATAGAGAAAAATCTTTTTTAACGATTAAATCTTTTTTTTTTTAGATTTTAGGAAATTAAAAAAAAAAAATTAAATTAAATATAAAAGTCTTAATTATGCAAACTCTTTTGTTAATTATTCTTAAAACAAAAAAAAAAATACTTCTACGCAAAACTTTAATCGTGCAAACTTAAAAAAATACTCAACTGAAATAATTTAAGTATATTTAATAATTTGAATCGTATCTGTTTATAATAAACGTTCGTAAAAATTTGTTTATTAAAAATTAAGTTCCTTAACTTATAAACAAACTCAAAAGTATTTTCATTCTACGTATAATTACAAAACACTTTTTTTTTTTTTTTTCGTTTGTAAGCAATTTAATTTAATAAAATAAAAAAAAGAATAAATATGAGGTAATCTTTTTTAAGAAAAAATTTAATTTATTTATTGAACTATATTTTTATTTTTAATTATATATCAACTTAATTAAAATATAGTAACATGTTAAAATATTTTAACATGACTTGTGTTATTTATAAACCGTTGGGCAGTTGCCCTTACGGCACCATTGTTTTTGGAAAATATTTTATTTTGATGAAGATCACATAACTTACATTTGATTTTAATAACGTAAGTCTTCTCTTTTTCTGTAATCATCGCATCGCCCAAGATTTAAAAGTTTTTAAAGTAAATCTTTTGTCCTTCAAAATACAATCCATATTCGAACTTTAAACAATTTAGAGATAATAGAAATATACAAAGTTTTTATATACTAGTTTGTTTTGTTTTATAAAGAAAAATACATATTCATTAGTAAAAAATGGAGACTGTCATTAAACTAAAATGTGCCTTAGTATTTATTTAACGGAACCTGTATGTGCGTGTGCATAATAAAAGCTCCGTTATATAAATATATTCAACATAATATTAGTGTCATCAGCGGAGTCTACTCATGATTTCTTTACCTTATAATATAACTTGATTTATGAAAAAAAAAATTTATTGAATCGCACACGGAAGAAATTTAACAAATTGTCTTCATTCAAATATTGCGAGTAACAGGTAATTTTTTTTTCTGTGCCGACCCCCTCCCCTCGCATAACTTAAAGGTAAAGGTATCTATATACCTTTAACTAATAAGAAAAGAAAAGACATTTTTTTTAATATCTCGAAAAAATGTCTTGATATTTTTGTTATCATGATAACAAAAATATTAAGACATTTTTTGAGATATTCAAAAAAATGTCAATTTTTAATTACAAATTTTTTTGCAAATGTTTTTTATTATAAATTCAGTAAAAAATTTTTAAAAAATCTATATTACAAAAAACATTTATATTCTGTATTAATAAAAATAATTTCTGTTCATTGCAACTTAAAAGATTGCAAATTATATGAATCAAGAAAGTAAGATGAAAGAAGCGAATTCAAAAGAACTGATGTTCGAGGGAAAAAACTAGACGAATAAGAATTTTTGGAGCACTTAGGAACAGTAACAGAAAAAGGATGAGACTTGATTGAATAAATAGTAACACGAGAATGAATTTTAGTAGATGGCACAAGATAGGCTAGCTCTTTTGAGCAGTGCTCATTATAATATTTGTAGAAAAGAGAAAGAGAAGCAACATTACAACAATGTGACAAAAATTGAAGGTCGGCTGCAAGAGCAGGTCCAACTATGTTTACAATGCGTTTTTGCACCTTGTCTAAAAGAGAAAGGGCATCATTAGAAGATCCGCCCCAGATATGGCAACAGTATTCCATACAAGGACAGATTTGAGATTTATAGAGGTAGAGAATAGAATCCAGAGTTAGAAAGTCTCGAGCTCGATAAAGAGATGGAACTTTAGCAGATGCTAATTTTGCAATGGATTTGATATAAGGTTTCCAAAAAGATCAGAAGTAAGAGTTAATCCTAGAAGATGAAGGGTAGGAGACTCATCGAGTACATTACCGTTCATAAATATAGGAAGGTCTAAATTATTGTGATAATGATTGGCTGAAAAAAATTGAGTTTTATCTGAACTAAAGTTCACCAGCCACTGTAAGCCCCATGCTGTAGCAGAAATGAGATCCTTTTCAAGTTCAAATGCCCCCTGCAAGCAATCAGAGGGAGTTGGCTTCTTATCGTGACAAGAATAGATGGTAGTATCATCAGCGATCAATGCCACCTTAAATGTGAGAATATCTGGAAGATTGTTAATGAAAGTTAAAAAAAGTATAGGGCCAAGGATTGAACCTTGAGGAACTTCTGAGGTTACAGAATAAGAAGAAGAGTGCTATCCATCAAGGACAACTCTTATACTACAATTGGAAAGGAAGGATTCAATAATCTTAAAGATGTTTCCAGATACACCGTAAGAAGAAAGCTTATGGAGAAGACCAGCATGCCAAACTTTAACAAACGCTTTAGAAATGTCAAGAGCGATGGCCTTAACCTCCATCTCTGGGTCAGAAAGTTAAGGTTAGAACCTGTTTTATAACTGTGTGCCATTCCAGTTAAAGAGATTAACTCATTGTTAGACATCAAAGTCATCTCAACTTCTGATGCTAAAGTCAATTCTCAATTTTCTCTAATATACAATTTTTCAATTCTAAAGTCAATTCTCAATTTTCTCTAATATACGATATCTCAAACATTTTCTTTTCTTAACTAAAGCCTGTTCATCCTCTATGTAATCCACTTGCTCCAAGTTTTTTTACTTCTACTTCTACTATTTTCTTCTGAAGTTATATGCGGTAGTGGTGTAGTGGTAGAGCGCTCGCTTCATAAACGAGTAGTTCCGAGTTCGATCCCCACCATGTCCCTGGTAGTACCGCGCTCAACTCGTTTCTCCGCGCAGCGGCCTTGTTCGTCAAGGTTCGTGTTTCGGAGTTATAGAGTTGAGAGAGGGTTATAGCCACGAATAAGTAGCCTCCTCGTCTGTAGTGGCCTTCTCGGCCTTGAGGAGGTGAATTAAAATAAAATAAAAAAAAAAAAAAAAGTTATCATGCTGATACCCAAACCACTTTAATCTTCTTAGATAAACTTTTGAAACAACGTTTTTTTCTAAACTCTGTTTATATACATATAATATAATCACAATTAAGAAGCCTCCTCGTCTGTAGTGAGCTTCTTGGCCTTGAGGAGGTAAATTAACAAACGTATATATATATATATATATATATATATATATATATATATATATATATATATATATATATATATATATATATATATATATATATATATATATATATATAAAATATGTATGCATAAATGCGCCTCTGATCTCCTGGGTTCAAGCAAGTATGGAATATTTTATTCCTTCATTTTTGTTTTAAATCAAGCCTCATTCTGCTCCACAATTTTTACCTTCTTGTGTAGTTGCTATATTAAACCAATTTTTTCGTTTTTTTACAATTATATCTCTATTGAGAGCAATTTTTATTTTATTTTGCAGAAATCAATGTAAAGGCCGTCTGATAATATGTTCCATTATTCTCAGTTAACTAAATCTTGTATCTTATCACAGAAGTTATATTCTAGAGACTTTTGAAAAATCTTGCACATTACCTAAAGTAAGTCTAACTGTGTCATTACCTAAAGTAAGTCTAACATTCTATCTCTAATTCATGGGTCTGATATTATTACTTCTTCATAGAATAAGAAAGAGCTATTTGCTTAGAAATTTTCCTCTAATTTGACTCTTGAATATAATGGCTATACTCTTTTTGCCCACAGTGTTATAAAACAGGTTCTAGCCTTAACTTTCTGACCTGGATAAAACATTTTGGCAAAATGATAGCCCACACTATGGGGATCATTTAGATATAAGTATCAAAATCAGATTACAATGTCTGGCAAGTTAATTACATTTGAAATTTCATATTTTATTGATTGCACTCATATGCAAAATGACAGCTTATTTTTCTTTTTACAGTAGTAAAAATTTCCAATTTACATTAATATAAACAAGGAAAACAAAGTGATATATTCCACCATAGTAAGACTGTTGCTTAATGTGTAATGCATCAATCCAAAGAGTTGCTTGAGAAAAACTTGAAGTAGCCCAGCAAACAGATGATTAAAACCTCCATTTATGATGCAACTACTTGGGAGAAAGGAACTAAAAAATCAAAGCGTCTTCAGGTAGTTTAAATATTAGAAGAATAAACGACATTTTTGTAGTCACAAGCTTTTCTGGTATTGGAACCTGAAATTAATGAAGCCAAGAAAACAATCAGTTTTCCTGCATTCTTGGTGGTTTTTAGCAGTATTTGGCATTTTTGGTAAAATTTGAATTGCACAGAATTGAGCTCTCATTGGTAAATTAAAAACAAAGTCCGTTTTCCCAGAATTCCAAAGTAGATATTCTTTTCATAATTAAATACATTTCATATCAATTTAAACAGTTTTTTAGAAAATAATCATAATTTAGAGCTGTAGAAATGCAAAATAAGCAGTGATTTTGTATGTTTGTGCAATCAAAAATTCAAATGTAAATTAACTGCTAGGACATGGTAATCTAATTTCAATACTTATACCTAAGTGATCCCACTAGTGTGGGGCATCATTTCACCAAAAGGTTTCTCTGGGTCAGAAAGTTAAGGTTAGAACCTGTTTTATAACTGTGTGCCATTCCAGTTAAAGAGATTAACTCATTGTTAGACATCAAGTCACCTCAACTTCTGATGCTAAAGTCAATTCTCAATTTTAATCTTCTATGGCTTGTGGTTTAGACAATATTTCCATCATATTCTTACAAATGTGTTCTCCAGAATTCCTAATCCTCTCTTCAATTTTTGCTAAACTATTAGTTGTAAATAAGTACTATTAAGTTCTAAATAAGTTCTAATGTTTAAAAACTCTAAAAGACACTGACACATGACACTATCCTATGATTAGGCCTATTCTCTAGTAATAATTTCTTCATATAAAAATTTTAAGATTGTTAAATAATTTCTTTTTAACCACAGTAATTAAGTCATTCTCAAAGGTCTACACTCTTCTTCATTTCCATTTTAGGAGTACTGAAAGCTTATATCTTTGCTCCTGTTTTGTTTCTAATCTACAATAATAATCTTCCTGACATGATCTTACATCTAGATTGGCTGTGTTTGCTGACAACCTCAACTTTATTCTCCTGTCTTGACAAATATTCTTTACTTAAAAATTTTTTTTTTATTAATTTATCCTAATTCTGAGGGTTTTAAATTGAATGTCCCAAAAAACAACTTTTAAAAAAAATGTCTGCTGCCACCCTCTAAATGTGTTTTATATAATAAAATAATCCTGGTATTAAATTTTTTTATAAAAATGTATATTTTTATTTTTAGTTGATAATGTAATTTTTTAGGCAGTGAAATTTAAAATAATAACTTTTAAAAAAATGATGATTATTTTTGAAATATATATATAATTTTGTTTCTTTTAAGACCCAACATGGTATACTTTTAAAGAACTTTTTTTTTGATAATATGAGGCCATGAGAACAAAAGTGGTGTAACCCACAAGTTTACAAAATGTGTTATTTTGACGTAACGTAACTCTATAAAAAACTTAAAGAAATGTCTCAATAGATGGTTAAAACTGAAAAGCTGCTATGAATTCAAAAACAAGTGAGATAATTCAATTAAAAATTACGGAGTTTTATTTTTACTATTTTCTCCATTGTTTTAATATGTTGCTTACACCACTTTTGTTCTCATGGCTTCATCTAGACATAGTTAGTTTTTGTTTATTTGAATTTTTTAATTTCAGAGTGATATAGAAAAAGAGTTAATGAAAGTGCAAGCTGCTCTGCAAGCTGAAACAACTGCTCTTAAACAGGCAAATGATCAATGTCGAGACATTGAAAAACAAAATGCTTTATTGAAAGATGAAGTTGATCAATTAAGAACAAAATATAAAAGTGATGCCAATGCCATGCAAAAATTACAAGATGAACTTATTGCTGTTGAAAAATCAAAAGCTAGTATTGCGTTTGAGCTTAAACAGTTAAAAGTTAAATATGAAATGGAGAAAACAAACTTTACAGTAATTTTTTTTTTTCTTTTTCTTTTTTTTCTTTAGTACAAAGAAGATATATACAGAGTATTTTGTGTGTGATTTACAGAGGGGTGTTTTTTTGAAAGGTTTTTGTTGAGCTTACAGTTTTTTATTTTTTTAAACCTCAATTATGTTTTTTTAGAATCGACTGCCAAAAGAGACAGATGTAAAAAAAAAGCTATCAGAAGTTCAAATATTGGAAAAAGAGAGTAAGTTCTTATAGAAAATTACTTGCAATTATTGAATTAAGTTTGTTTTTGACATTAAAACAATCTTCTTAATATTGTTTTTATTAAAGCCTAAAGTTTTAAGTTCAAAACTATGTGATGCGTTTCCTTTTTCTGAACTGATGCCATTTTTACTGTATTTTTTTAGCAATTTAGCAAAGTTGTTTTATATTTTATATTAATGTGATATATATTGGTATATATCACATTTTTTCCATGTTTTCTGAGATCTTTTCTGTGATTGTTTTAAATAGTTGAGTAATTATTTAGTAAATTAGCCAATTAAAAATGTCTAATGTCTTAAAACAACTCTAAACTAAATGTTATCTAAATTAATAACCACAACAAACACAATTCAATTTGTAGTTTTAGAATTTCTAGAAAAAGTATGTTTTTGCAAATTAGAAACTATTTAAATATATTAGAATTTAATGCGATATTTTTTATTATCTTTTTTTAATATACAAACCAATCTATTACAAGGAAAAAAAAAGAAATGATAATTCAAAAAAATCTGTTTTTTTTTTTTTTTTAATTTTTTTAAACTTAACATATAATTTAAAGCAACTTAATTTATCGATAAAACAAGTTAACCAATCATTTGATGATATCTATAACTATTTTTTTAAAGTAACTAAATAGTATGCAACAATATATATGCAATTTATTTTTTTAAAGTAACTAAATAGTATGCAACAATATAAATCTAAACTTTATATAATTTTATAAAAATGTTAATGCTTTTTTGTAAATAAACTAAATTAGCATTAAAATACTAACTTATATAATCTTATGAATATAAATATCCTTTGTGTATGAAATATTTAACAGAAAAACATTCAATATTAATGATAATAAAAGTCATCCTTCAGCTACTTTTTTTAACCTTCAAAGTAAAAAAATCTAAAAAGAAGTCTGCTATTAAGTACAACTGAATTTTTAGATTTCACATATATGCTATCAAAATACCACTAATTAAATGATTCATTGAAGATATCTACTCAATCTTATAAAAAACAACAAACAATATGGTTTTCTATATGGTAAAAGCACCCATGTATGCAATTGTCTTAAATGACTAACATCTAGCTTAAGACAAAAAGTAAAATCTAATACCTATATTGTTATATTTTAAACAACATTGAGTTTTTATTTTTCTTTCTATAATAAAAGTTTCAATTAACACTTCAAATTTATCTCAGAACAAAGCATAGTTGGAAAAACTTGGAGAATTTTTCTTTCCTTTTGCAATGACTGCAATGAGTTTTTATTCTATTTAGTGTTTTTACCCACAATGCAATGACTTAAAGGTTTATTTAGTGTTTTTACTCACCTGCCTATGTTTAATTAAAAAAAAAAATTTTAATATTTGAAATTATTTAATTAAAATTAACAAAGACCCTTGAAGATTTGAATCGTAAACTCACCTACATTCACCATAGTAAACAAACAGTTCATTTTGAGTTTAGTTGCTTCATCTAGCAAATTTCCTATTGATCCATTATTGGTTAACTTCATTTTTCATGTTTTTAAAAGATATAGCTTCCCACTATTTTTGTGGCACTATAATTAAAATCAAAAGCTTTTAAATTAAATAATGACGAATTTACTTACGTGTATTTTGCAAACTTACTGCTTGACAACAACTGTACATATATTTTATAGTTTGATTGTTTTGATTCAGAATTTAATTTCTACTTTTTAAAATAGTTAAAATTAATTCACTATGCAACCTGGATTAAACCAGTTATGCAACCTTTTTTTTTTTTTTTTTTAATCTTTTATTACTTTTTTTGCTTTTTTTGTTCACTAGATGTCTTAAGTCTTGCTGTCTGTTTTAAGTATATAAAAAACATTTTTCTGAAAGTTAAGTATGTGATTAACTCAGAGTTGTAGTTTCTTATTATTTGTGTTGGCCTAATAGACACTTAATACTTAAATATCTCGTATTCTTAACAGCTTATGGTAATTTTATTGTCCTGGATAAGTCTTATTTCTTGCTGTTTAAATTTTATAAAATTTAATAAAGTAGACATCTGTGGATGTCTACTTTATTAAATTTGAAGTTCTTTTATGATACTAAAATATGCATAGACAAGTGCAGTGTATACATTGATTGAAGGTTTGTTCTTGGCAGAGTTGTAGCTAGGCTACCTGACACAGCCTTTTTTTTTATGATTTTGGAGCCCTAATGACAGGTTTTGGGGGAGCCTTTTGAAAGTTTCTTAGTTTGGTTTATTTAGCATTGTGTAGACCTAATGATTGATTTGCATAATATGTTCGTACAGGGCTAATATTAGCAATGATTAAATATTTTAAATAATAAAATGTTTATTTAGTTGGTGATATACAAAAAGAGCGAGAAGAAAGGATTCGAATTGAATCAAAAGCCGCAAATCTTGAGCGTCTAATTAATGACTTACAATTAGATTTAAAAAATATTAAACAAAAAAATGTAAGATTAGAAGAAGAATATCAAGCAAGTCAAAATAAAGTAAGTTAACTTTTATTAACTTTTATTAATTTAATATACAGATATAAAATATTTAAAATTTTCAGTTAATGTTAATAATAAATTGTTTTATTAATTATAAAATTAGAAAAAACCAATAGATTGACTGATTTAGACATATCAAACTTTCATTTATAATGTTAAAATGTTTATTTTTTATCATCTGTAATTCAGTTTTCTTACTTTTATCTCAGCCTTTTTTGCCTGACACTGACAACTTTCTACATAGTGACACCCAATTATATGTATCTTCACATATTTATACCTAATCATATGCATCTTTACTTAGTAATAACCATTCAAATGCAACTTAACTTAACTAAACCACTTCAATTTACACTTAACTTAACTAAACCACTTCAATTTTCCCTGACTCATACTATTAGATACACTTCAGGCCTTCTCGTAAGAGGTGTGCGATCGCACGCCTTATATGACCACGCATATAGTTTTTATTTTAACATCTTGACCAAAGCTCATTGCAAGTTTTGATAATTAGCGCATTTAAAAATTGCGCTAAAAAAAACAAAGCAAATTAAAATAAACAATCCATAAACTGATATAATATATATATATATATATAACAAAAATTAACCTAAAAAAGTAAAATATTTAAAGAATGTTAAATAAATAAAGGAAAAACCAGAAAAAAAATCAAAACACGTATTAATTAATTTAAACTTTGAATAAATAGGCTAATACAAGGGCGGATCCATAGTAAGGGAAAGGGTCATGAAATTTAATAAAACTTTGTGGTGCAAATTTAAAATTTTATTAAAAAGTTAATAGGATACAGGGTGCAACAAATTGACAAATGTGCACACATTTCTTTAAGACAGACAGAAAAACAAACATCACGTTTCTTTAATTTTGCTTATGCCGTTTGATTAAGATTTTTCAAAACAAACGCGTTACTTCAGCAATTTTTTCAAAATAGTTTTGCGATCAATAGTTTTTTATTTATTACAAAAAGAACATATTTAAAATGAAAAAAAAATTAATTACAGAGACTTTTTTTTAAAAATGCCAAAACATAATTAATTTTTTCAATAGTGTCATTTATAAGTAAAATAAGTAGAAAAAAGTAATTATGTTTTAGCATGGTTTTTGCATGCGCTCACTAAAGTATGATAATTTTAGTTAAAATAGATGCTTTTGCAAAAACTTCAAAAGAAACCGTCCTTAAACAGTTTGATTGCTTTCTTTTATTGAAGAAAGCGATCGTAAAGTTTAAGCTTGGTTTCTTTTCTGCTTTTAGCAATTACATTAAAAGTTTAAAGCAAATGATTTCATTATAAATAAAATTGTGCATGCTTTATTTTTTAATTTTCTTATTTTCCATAAACTGAAAAAATGTGTGTTTGCATATTAAAAACACTTTTAAAAGTTTTTTTTATTGTGCGTTTATCATTAATTTGCGCGCGCTTTGCAAATGTGTAAAAAAAAAAGTTTTTGAAAAATAACAATTGAATAAGTTTACCAAGCATCTTTGATATATTTGATAACTTATTAACAAGAATAAAAATTATTTGAAATTTGTTTGACATAAATCTCTTAAATTAGACGTTCGTCAATAAATATAAAGATACGCAAGTCAGCATTCATTAAAAAAAAACGGTATGTCATGCCTTGGGATAAAAAATAGTTGGTAAATGCGACTATTTCTAGATTATTGTAATTCTTTTTTTTAGTAAATAATTTCTTTATTAGAAGTTATAATTCCATGAAGGTTTGTAAATTATTTTTCGATAGCTTCTGTACTCATTTTGCCTTAAACTCTAATCTGAAAATTTTTTTAACGATTGCTTTTATTAAGTTGCATTAAAGTACTTAGGAAATTTTGTGGCAGTTTAGTTGTAATTATGGAATCAATTAAATTAAAAATTGTATTTACATTTGCTTTGTTTTCTTTTAGCGCATTTTTTAAACGCACTAATTATCGAAACTTGCAAAGAGCCGTGGTCAAGTTGTTAAAACAAAGAACTATATGCGTGGTCATATAAAGCGTCCGATCGCACGCCTCTTACGAGAAGGCCTGCACTTACTGTTCCTTATCTCAGTTTAGTAATGTGTCTCTTCTTTTTTATTATTTAGAATTGCACCACACATCTTTCTAATCATTATCATCTTTGTTCTTTCAAGTGCTGAACATCATCAACCTTGTCTGTGTTTTACTTAAATCATAACTCATTATTGTGGATACATGTGGTAAACATCTTTCTTTTTATCTTTAATGATGCACCTAATGTTGTTAGAAGTAGCAATAATGTTCTCAAATTATCCCAAACACACCTTTTGTCTACCAGTTGATCTAATTGTTTCTCTAAGATAAAAAAATATGCCAATACATTCTATCTTACCAATGCTATTTATATCAACATATTTTTTTTACTTCACTGTAACAAATGTGCATTATCTCAAGATCAACAGTGTTATGAGCACCTTGTATACCGCGAAATTTGTTTTAAACCCCTTGCTTTCAAACTGTACAAGTAATAAAGTTTGTAATCAATATCACATCTCCTAAATGTTTTCCTTATAATAAAATAAAAAAAGGTTTAAAAACTTTTTTAATAAAATTTTTTAGAGGTTCCTTAAGTTTTTAGAACATTTAATAGATCTTTAATGTTATCAAAAATAAAACATTTTATGAAGATGCCATATTGGGTTTCAATAAAAATGACTTTAGTGAAGTGCTATTGTATAGATTTTATTTTGGGAGTTTTTTAAAAACAATAATTTTAAATAAAATCAATGCACTTTTAAATAGAAATGCAAATAACTAACATTCAAATAATTTTAAATAAAATCAATGCTTTTTTAAATAGAAAAGCAAATAATTAATATTCAAGTTACCAGCTAATGTTAATAGTTTAAAATAATTCTTGTGCGCACAGATTTCCATTCAATTAAAAAAGGAAGTTTAATACCCTCCAAGTAAATTAATTTTTTTTTTAATATCAAAACAATTTTTATAAAATGTTAAAATAGTTCAAACTAAATACTTAATACTTAAAGAAATCATTTTGTGAATTGCTAATATAAAAATTATTCTACATAAAACAAAGTTTTTACTAAGTATATTTTCAAGTATATGCATCTGATTCCTTGATTAATAGAAAAAAGAAAGTGCAAACTATTAATAATTTTAAATTTAATTAAAGATAATTTGCAATGATTTTGCAAATGGCGGGAAAAGCTGCAAGAAAATTAAATGAAAAGGATGAATAAAAAAAGTATAATAAAGTAAGAGAAAATGTTCTTAGCTATGTACAACAATTTCAAATAATAACAAAATAAGAACTTCAAACTTTAAAGTTACCAATCTTAAGGAAAAATAATTGCACATCTTATTTGTCTGCTCATTAAAATTATTCTCTGCTCGTTAAAATTATTAAAACCGCTAATGTTAATTAAATAACAATGTTATTAACTCTTGTGCGCAGCCATTTGAATCGAATACTTAATACTAAGAAGGCAATCCTTTTATGAAACGCTACTACAAAAATTACTGTTACATAAAACGAGATTTTCACTATATATATATATATATATATATATATATATATATATATATATATATATATATATATATATATATATATATATATATATATATACATATACATATATATCTTATACTGCTGAGTTAGGTGAGCATGATGATGTCATACTCACCTAATGTCAAATAGCCTACTGCCGGGGGCTTCAGTACATACATCGACTGACAAATAGCCTGACTCACCGTGGAGTGCTGCTACATCGACTGATGGTTTGGTATGGGTCAGCAACATTTTCATTCATTATTCTTTGTTTTCCCTCATCGTTTTCTAAAAATGCTCACTTAATTTAGGCTAGCAAAAAAAGTGAGCAATTGCGCATATAAATATGCTATAGTAGATATATATATATATATATATATATATATATATATATATATATATATATATATATATATATATATATATTTTAAGAATCCTATTATTGCTTCACTTATTTTGATCACTTTCATTTTACTGGTGGTGAAAATTATTATTTCATAAATGAATAATATATAAGTAGATATAGTTTACGCCGTTATTAAAAAAAAAAATGCAAATGTGCAATTAAGTTTATCTATAAAGCATTCATTCCTTTATTGCAATTTGCGCAAAAATTTACAAGAAGATAAGATTTATAGAAAAGAAAAACAAAGTACAATTGAAAGAAAAAATGTTCTTAGTTAAATACAATAATAATTATATATTATTGTTAAAATAATGTATTAAACATTTTTATTAAAATGATAAAAAAAATTTTCAATCATTTATGAAATAAGAATTTTCACCACCAGTAAAATGAAAGTGATCAAAATAAGTGAAGAAAATAAATAAATATAGTTTACGCCATTTTTAATATTCATCAGCAATGCTAATTAAAGTATCATAAACAATAAAATAAAGTTTTTAATGCATTTTCAAAACTTAAACTTTATAAAGTTTTAGTATATAAATTTTTCAAATTAAATATTTGTCAAGTTTTTCAAAACTCTGATTTTTTTTTTCAACCATGACCGACATGAATTCATTTTTTTTTCAACCGGTCAACCATGACCGACATGAATTCATTTTGGGAGGTCAAAATAGCAATTTTAGTCATTTTGGCAGTCTTTGACTGCTGACCGGCTATTTTTTTCCACACTGATTTATATGTATGTATGAATGAATTCATATAGAATTAAAGTTATATTTGTTTATCATTTAATATCAGAATTAAAAATAAAAAAACATCAATAAATGTTTATGCAAATTAATTCAAATCACTTACATTTGTACTATGCTTCAAAAATTCTTTTACAATAGTCTACATAAATCCATGATTTTTTTAATTCTGTGATCTTCATGAACTTTTATAAAGTTTTATGAAATCTTTTACATGTTTGATCTTTTATGACTTAAAAATCTTATGACATTTAAAAATCTTATGACATAAAAAGTTATGACATTTAAAAATCTTTATGACATAAAAAATTTAAATTATTTCCCTAGTTATTATTGTAATTCAGCATTGTTTGTTGGTTCTAATAATATATTTCATTTATGTTTGATTATGTGATAAGTTATTCCAAGGTTTAGTAAGTTGTAGTTATTTCTGTAACTATTTGTTACTAGAATGCTTTAATATTGTTTCTATTAGTTTTTTTAGTTTGTTTTTTTTTCATTATATACTATATTATTATATTCATTTATATTTTTTATTTTACTCTTTTTATAATTTTTTAACGTAAAAATTATTCTGACTTTTTTTTTTTAATGCTTTTTTTTATATATAAAGGTTTATTTTTTTGTAATTTAATAAATGATTATTTCAATAAGCAACTAAGTAGCAGTATGTTTGATAAAAGTATGGGAAGGAGTTATTGAGGCTTAAGGAGTTATCAAGGGTAGCATAAAAGCCAGATGAGTAGGTTTCACATAAAGTTCCCTAACTTTCATTATTAAAAATTGTCAAATGTGTTCAAGCCTGTGCAAAAACACTTTTTTTGACAAAAACACTTGTTTTGACAATTTTTTTTTCCGTCAAAGATAAAAAGTTTGTTTGGAGCATTAAATGCCAAAGTAAAAACAGTGTTATGAATGTTGGATACCAATACATAATAATAATTAAATCTTAAAATACATAAAAAAAAAAGTTGATATGTAATCTATATTTTTATATTGCAAACTGTAGTTTATAATATATCTTCTATGCTTAACTTTTTTTTTATCAAACTAGATTGACAGTTTGAATAGCTTGATGAAAGATGAAAATGCAAATCGTAATGATATTCAGAATAAACTTAATACAGTAATAAGTGAATTAACAGCACAGAAAACTAAAGAACAACAACTAAAGTCTGATCTTGATCGAACTCTTGATGAAAAGAAACAAATACAAGAAGCATACAACAAGTTAAAAAAGTAATTTTTAAATATTCTTTATATTAGTTATATTTTTAATTTTCTCTAATTTTTATTTGTTATTTTTTTTATTATTATTATTATTATTTTTTTTTTTTTACAGTGCTTCTGCAGCAGATAATATTCAAATAAAAGAATTGCAAAATCAACTGGAGGCTGAGCAATACTTTTCTGTAATATTTTTCTGATGTATTTTTATTGTGTTACAGTTTTTTGTAGAAATTTAGTTGAATAATTTTATATGTATTTGAAATAATATATATATAATCATATATATGTAGTTGAAATAATAAGCAATCTATTAACTATTCAGAATCTTTATAAAACACAAGTGCGAGAGCTAAATGAGCAAGTTGATGAACAACGTAAACAGTCACATGATCTTCAAAATGATCTTCAAATGTCACAGGAAGATCGAGCTTCTCTTTCAGCTCAACTTGAATTAGCAATAGCAAAAGCTGAATCAGAAGATTTAGCAAGATCAATTGCAGAGGAGCAAATTTATGATCTTGAAAAAGAAAAGACAATGCTTGAACTTGAAGTTAAAGATTTACTTGCCAAAAATAAGGCTGATAGTTTTGAAAAGTTCAAAAAGTTGCAAGAGGTACTGGTTTTATATATATATATATATATATATATATATATATATATATATATATATATATATATATATATATATATATATATATATATATATATATATATATATATATATATATATATGTAAATGTAATTTTAATGTGTTTATATATGTATACACACACATAGATATATTGTGTAGTAGAAAAATATGTATATATGTTTATTATTTCCAGCTTTCATTTAAATTTTTATTCATTTTTTAATGCAGGCTGATGAAAAAATTAGAGTACTAGAAACTGAACTTCAAAATGAAGTTCGCAAAAGAATTGAAAGTATTGAACAGATTAAAACTGGTACTAAAATTTATTAATTTCTTATTGTATATTTTTAAAAACAAATTTAAAATTTTTTTATTTAATTTGTTGTATCTTTTAATTTGTGTTTTTCAACAAGCTGTTGCACAAAAATCATAAATATGTTTTTATAAAACTATTTCTATTTATTATAGTTTTTTGAACATGGTTTTTATCATAAATTATTTCAGTGAACAATAAAAAAAAAATTATTTTAAATATAGAGATATCTTTTTTTTAAACACAAGCACAATGTTTTTGTGCTAAATTTTGTCTGAACTCAATAACAAATAAAGAGTTTCAGTTTCTTAAAACTAGTTACTCAATTTTATAGGTAATTATTTTATTCTCAATGATGAAGAATTAATTTGTTGATTGTTTATGTCTGTCAATTTTTTAAGTAATGTGCTTTTCAAAAACATGTAAATAGTTGCAAATAATTTGAACTTCTTCATATTATGCTGAATGTTGCGGTAGTGGTGTAGTGGTAGAGCGCTCACTTCATAAACAAGTGGTTCCGAGTTCTATCCCCACCATGTCCCTGGTAGTACAGCGCTCAACTCGTTTCTCTGCGCAGCGGCCTTGTTTGTCAAGGTTCGTGTTTCAGAGTTATAGAGTTGAGAGAGGGTTATAGCCACAAATAAGTAGCCTCCTCGTCTGTAGTGGCCTTCTCGGCCTTGAGGAGGTGAATTAAAATAAAAAAAAATAAATAAAAAAAAATGTTAGAATGATAATTAAGAATCTTATGTTATTAATAAAGTTTAAGTGTATTTGACTTCATTTAATTAAGATGCTATTTTAATTTAACTGATTTCAAAGTAGCAATTTGCAAATTTTAAAAGTTTTTCATTCTATTTACTAGTGTTTTTGGTTACAAATTTAGTCGAAGTCAATAAATAAATCCTACAAGTAATATGTTCAACATTATTAGATTGAATTGTGAGATTTTTATTTTTACACACAAGCAATAAATATGCAAAGTAGGTGGAAAGTGCAGTTGAAAATATTATCATTCTGCATCTTTATAAATTTTAATTTCAAAGAATGTTAATATTTCTAAACATAATTTTTCATATTTTCAAACTGTTTCTATTTTTCACACAGATTTCAAATTTCTTATTCATTTAACACTAGTGTTAGCAAAAGTTTTTAACATCAGTTAAATTTACCTTAATGCCAAAATTTGTAAATATAGTTTTTGTTTTACCCCATTTAGATATTGTGGAAAAAAAACAAAACGAGGAAATTGAGGCGTTGAAAAAAGCTGTCAAGCAAGAGCAAACTTTAAAGATACAAGCAGTTAACAAGCTAGCAGAAAAGATGTCAGAAAGAAAAGAAATTTCTTCAAAAGGAAAAGGTAACAAAGTAACTTCAGCAGAGTTGAAGAAAAAAGAAAAAGAAAACAAAAGACTTCAATTGTTACTAGAGCAGGTTTAATTTTGGCTTCTCTTTTCTTTATATTACTTTTTTTTCTTTATATAATTTTATGCACTCAGTTTTTTTTATTATACTTAATGATCAAAACTTTTTAATAATGTTCTTTATATGTTTCTTTGTAAATGTTTATGTTCATTTTTAGGAAAAAAATAAGTACCAAATTACATTTACCAAACATCAAGGTCAAAACAGTGAATTAAATAAAGTATGACTTGTTTGATTTTATAACATTTTTTGTAATAATAATATACAATTAATAACATGTTTTAAATAAGATAATAAAAATAAAATAACATTTTAAATAACATTGGTTTTAGAATTGGTTTTATATTTTTTTTAATATGTGTATGTATGTTTGTATGCATGTATGTATGTATGTATGTATGTATGTATGTATTTATGTATGTATGTATGTATGTATGTATGTATGTATGTATGTATGTATGTATGTATGTATGTATGTATGTATGTATGTATGTATGTATGCTTGTATGTAAATATAAATGTAATCATTTTTTTAGGAATTGGAGAAGCAGAAAGAAGCATTAACTAAAGTTATGGTAATTACACAAGTGTTTTTTATACATGCATACACAAGTGTTTTACTATAAAATTTTCTAATGCCACCGAACCATTGAATCTAAATTCTTATGTAGAAAATTGTTTAAAAAAAAGAATGGTCATTAATGTTAACAATAAAAATTCTATTACAAATGTTTAATAAAATTTTGTTAATTTAAAAATATTTGCTTACTTCTTTTCATACTTATTGTATGCTTAAATGCACAAAGGACTGAGAAGTATGAGAAGAAAGAATTATAAATTTCAAAAAACAATTTTTAAGGTTTACTGCATATTTGTTTTTAAGTTAGGATGCAAAAAGAAAAAAAAGGATTATCTCAAAAAAAAGTTTTAATTTTCTTTTTAAAGTATCAACTATAGTATTCATATTGTCTTTGCCATCATGTTTATCTTTACCATCTTGTCTGTTCATCTTTATAATCACGTGTGTTCATCTTTATCATTATGTGTATTTATCTTTACCATCATGCTTATTTATCTTTGCCATCATGTTATATAAAATATATTTTTGAAGCTTTAGTTGAATTTATCAATAATTGTTTAGATGGAATTAGAATCCAAAGGCATGGTTATTGAACAGTTACAAGAAGATAACAAGAATTTAAATACAGAAATAGAAAACTTGAGAGCTTTAGTTCCAGTAGGTACAAATAGCAGCATACTTCATCCAGGTAATTTAAAAATTTTTGAATGTAAATATAAAATATGACTGGTTGAAATTTGAATGATTTAAATTTCTACATATTTTTTATTTAAACAAAAAAAAAATTAAGATTAATTTTGGGATATGCAAGTTGTTTAGGTTTTTTTTAAGTGTCGCCTGTCAAATCCACAGTTTGATTTTGCGGTGTTAATCCATAAGTAGGGAAAATTTTATTGCATTTTTTCCCTGTTCTTTCTTCTCTATTGCCCAAAGATTTGATGTAAGATTTAATGTAAGATTACATGTAAGATTTAATGACTTGCTGCTAAAAGCAGTTTGGTGGGTTAGCATTCTTTGAAATGACACTCAAACTTTTTACTCAATGTTGCAAAAATTAATCAGATATAAACAAAACTACAATTTAAAAACTACTTATGTATGTATCATTTTAAAAAAATCATTAGAACTGAATAAGGTTTTTGAGAAATTCAATTTAAAAAAATTTCGACCAATCATAGTGATAATAAAACTACAGTTTTTTAAAAAAAATTTTAACTGCTTTTTTTCCTTTACATTTCAGTCTGTTTTTTTTTCATCTGGTAGCTCTTTAAAGCTATACTCAATCAATATTTCAAACATTTAAATAGTATTAAAAAGTATTCAAAATAAACCAAACAGTCTTGTTTGTTATAAGCATATCAAACAGGTCATTGTTTATAAAAAAAAGTATATAACATGTTGTGTTTTACTTATGTATTTAAAGATTTTTAATATATTTGTGTATATATATATATATATATATATATATATATATATATATATATATATATATATATATAAATAAATAAATTAAAAAAAAAAAATGTTATGGATGTTAGAGCAGAGTAGGGTGTTGGATGAAATAATAAAGTTGTTATAATAATGTTCTTTTGCTCCTTATTATTTTATTTATTATTTAATTATTTAATAAACCTCTTTGCATATATTTTTAGATCATGTTGAAGAGAATCTTTTTCTTAATAAGATTATATAAAATTTTAATTCAAAAATTAAATAATATTTTTTTTTTTTTTTTTTTACAATTTGTTAAGTTTTTAACCATTTAATTTTTTTCTTTTCTTGAAAATTAGGCTGAAAGCTTAAAACTTTGAATAATTTATTCAAAATTTTAAGTTTTCTTATTAAAATTAGATTTTCTATTTTCATTAAATGTTATGGGTTAAAAACAGAAACAGTGAACTATGGTTGAATAAAATACACAAACTGTTAAATTATAATTTATGTCTAAATTGACCAATTAAAACTGACCAATCAAAATTATCCAATAAATCTAATTGTAGCTATCCTATTATAAATATTATACTTCAGTTGTAGATGGACATTTATCGCATGTTACTTATCAGGTACTTATTTACATCAAAAATAATATCTTGTTAATTTGTATACCAGCTTACTTTTCAAATTTCCTGCAGCCACTGTGAGGTGCTGGTATTTTCTGCAGCCACTGCGAGGTGCTGGTATTTATTGCTGTGTCAAAAGAGTTTAGTTCAACAGTTTAATGCAAAGATTCAACTATATCTCAAAAGAATATTATAGTCAACTGTAAGCAAAACATTTCAGCTCTGGTGAAGTTTTTACACACATTTAGTCACTGGATTTAAAAATACTGATTTTTTTCTGCTTAACAGTCAAAATTGCAGGTTGCTAATTCATTTGTAACACCACCATATCAATCTGTCTTCATTATCTTAACCATAATTTATATCACCAGTACCACCACCAGCAACAGTAACTACACCATCCCAGTTACTAGCATCAGTAAATGTTATAAAATATGAGCTTCAAAATCAGCTCTATAAACAGCAACCATAAGTTATGGGCGAAGCTTTAACTAAGTAATATATTGAATGCTAGCAGTGTAAAAGTTCAAAATGCACAATCTTTTTTAATTGATTGATTGTTTTATTAATATTTATTAATAGTTTGTTTTTATTTATTCTTATTATTCGGTGGTTGTTTTTTTTAACAATGTGTTTTCTCAATTAATCTAAATGCAATTTTTCAGTTTTTTAAAATATTATTATGGGATTGTTTTTTAATGTTTCCTCCATTCTGCTTTTGTTTAAAATTTGTAAAAGTTTTTATTATTACCTCTACTTTAGTATAGTTTTTATTATCACCTCTAATATAATTAAGGTTACAAAAATGTAAGAAAAAATATACAAGCATCCTACTTTAATGCAATAGAGCTTTATAGTAAAATAGCAGGCCAGTATTTTTTTTTTTAAGTAGAAAACTGTTTGGATGCATTTATCAAGAACCATCTGCAAACATAGAACTCAAGAAAACAAGTAATTATTGTAGCTGTTAAAGATATTGGTTTTACATATTATAGCTGTTAAAGATATTGGTCTATATTTGAATGGGTTATTTGTTTACCTTTTTCTTTTTATATTGATATCAGATTAACTTCTTTCCAAATATTTAATACTACACCTGTCTCAAATGATGTTGCTATTAGAAAGAGGCTACTTTTTCAAGAAGTTTTGTTAGCTTCATGCTAATTTTTCTTAGAGAGGAAACAGTAAACTTTGCTTTTTTTGCAGCACCATAGCCAAAAAGTACCATTACTAAAAGTAGGATTGGTATGGTAAATGGTATCCAAGGTACCAATACCAAAAGTAGGTTTTATGATATGACACATAAGAGTTGCAATGTTGACAGACTCGGAGAAGTCAATCTGTCAGGGTGATTGACATTCAGTGGACTGCTGTCCACTGAATGTCAATCACCCTGACATTCAGTGGACACCAGCTAGTGGCAGCACTAAGAATGCAATTATATCAAGGATTGACTTCTCTGAGTCTGTAAATAATATTACTAGAGATTTTAGACATCACAAGTTTACAAGTGATAATATCACAAGTGACATCACAAGTGATGATATTGCATTAGAGCCACTGAAATTGTCTTTTTGTAATTATACTAATAAATCTGGATTTCACTAAAGCTTTCGATGGTCAGCCTAATGAAAACATGCAACACTCAAATCTAGTGCGCACCAGCTTAACTCGTGAAATAGATACTGGAACCCGGTATCTATTTCATGAAAAATAAGGAACAGCTTATCAAACAACTCACAAATTACTGTTGTCAAAAAATAATACTTTTTTTTAAACAGAGTGGTTTACATTTGCAACATACTTCCAGATACAGTTTAAAAAGCTAACAACATTTGTTTAAAAATGATGTGCTAGACTTGTTGACCATATTCATTTGTTCAGCATATTTCCACATTTTCCACATTTCAATCTTATTATTATTACTATTATTACAATTATTTTTATTATTATTGTTATTATTATTATTACTAGCAGTAAGCAACTCGTAATATGGGTTATTAATGAATAAATCACTAATAACAATTTAACTTGTGTATGTATTATCTGAAAAATGTAACAAATTCCTCTATATATAAGGCTGCCACTGTCCCAGTTTTTCTGCAGGGGAAAATAAAAGTTTTAGTTAGTTTAGTGCTGTGCTCTACTCTGTAAAAACTAGGACTTTTATTTGTCTGTTTTTTTTTCTCACAATTAAACCCTTTTAAACTCTCTTCCAGCTTTATATTTTCCTGACTCATACAACCTTCAACTTTTCAAGTCTTCTGTCAACCGTTTCCTTGCTCTTAAATCTATTTTTTTTTTTTCTAGTAACTCCCAACAAGCAATGTCAGTCAGTATATTTTAATCTTAAGTAATAAAAAAGACAAAACCATTTAAAAACAAAAAATTTTTTATAAATATATACTCAGTAAATTTTAAAAAGTAACATAGCACAACATAAAAGCATGGAGAAGCATTCTCTCTTTTTTTCTTTTTTTCTTTTTTTTTTTTTGACTACTTCCAGCAGATTTTTTTTACTTTATCTATTCCTTATTATCTTTTCTAAGAGAAAAAATGCATATAGATTCAGAAAAATATAAAATATAATGAAATATATACATATTTATGTATATAAACTTACATGTCAACAAGTAACTGTCTATTTTATTTAGCTTTTCATGATAAATGCATAAATAAAATTTTAAATTGAAACAAAACTGATTAGTAAGCTTACTCAGAATCAGAATCAGTTAAAAAAAAAAACCTTTTGACTGTCTAAAAACTTTTACTTTTATTAACCTTTCTAATAGCAAAAAATAGCAATAAAGTAAATTGAAATTACTAAAAAGCAATTCAGCTCTTTTCAATTGCTCTAAAAAAAATTTGCTTAAAATATTTTGAAAAAGACTAAAAACAAAACTGAACCAAAAAGAAACTGCCCAGTAAAAAAAACTTTAGCAGTAATTTTAGTACTAACATCTTTTAAAAAAAGAAAACAGGTTATAAAAATTAGAAAAATAAAAAGAACTAACAACAAACAAACATTTGTTTAAATTTTTATTGTAAAGTTAAACAATGAACAACATTAATTCTTCTTGAATACTAAGAAAAATTTATTAGCTCTAATTTGCTCGCAGTCCTTGCTTACATTTAAAATCAGTAAGTAGGAACTTCTCATAAAGATTTGCCTCTGCTTTTTAAATGTTGATATTGTAAAAAGTATTCCTTAAACATATTAAAATTTAAAAAATTTTGAACCATTCTAAAAAAAAATTATGCATATGTTTAATTTTTGTACGCTTTAAATTTTCTGAATGTGAATATTAAACTTCCATCAAAGTGAAAAATTTAAAAGATTACAAGTCTATTACAATAAATCTTTCTGTTGTGATCATTTTTGTCATTTTTAAAATATATTTTATTTCAGCAAATATGAAGTTAGAAGGTTGGTTATCTATTCCAGAAAGGAGAGTTAAAAAAAATATGTTATGGAAGAAACAATATGTTGTTGTGAGTCAGCAAAAAATATTTTTCTTTAACAATGAACAAGACAAAGCAACAAACACACCAGCTATGATCTTAGACATTGGGTAACTTTTTGTTGTTTTATATATATATATATATATATATATATATATATATATATATATATATATATATATATATATATATATATATATATATATATATATATATATATATGTATATATATATATGTATATATATATATATATATATATATATATATATATATATATATATATATATATATATATATATATATATATATATATATATGTATATATATATATATATATATATATATATATATATATATATATATATATATATATATATATATATATATATATATATATATATATATATATATATATATACTTGACAGTTGTAATCATTAAGATTTAAATTTTTCAGAAAAAACAGGAATAAAAGGCCATCCAGAAAGTAGATAATGAAAGTGAAACCACTATTTTTGGAACACCCTTCTCCCTTGTACTAAGCTGTAAACTTCAATGAACTCTTCTTTTTGTATAGGTACACATCATTTATCACAAAATTAATACTCCTTTTCGTAAAATTTCAAAAAAGTGAAAAAGTATTGGGAGTATGCATTGAAAATGAGCATTTTGTATTGAGACTCATAATTCGATATAGCGCTATTGCCGACCACGCAAATGATTTTATTTTTTGACAACTTGACCACAACTGTTTAGATAATAGACATTTTAGAAATGCATTAAACAAAGAAACGCTAACTAAACTTAAACTCGGAAGAAAATTTAAAAACAAAACTACTATATAACTAAGACAAAAAGAAAACAATTCCTTAAAAAAAAGAAAATATATAAGCACTAAAATAGAACTCAAAAAACTTAAACTCGAAGGGATAATTTCTTTTTGTTATGTCTTTAATTGCATTTAAAATAAGTTACTATTATAAATTACTAAAACTTATCTATTAGCATGAAACGTTTTATTAAAGTTAGGCAAACGCTTTCACAAATTACTTCTAATGGTTGTTTAATGAATGAACAAATTTTATTAAAATATTAAAAAGTTTTATATCTATATATATTTTTCAAATTGTGTAAACATTTTTTCCAAAAAATTGCGAGAAAAAAAAAATTAAACACCGTAGTCTATTTAAGATCAATCAACAGTTACTAAGCGCTTGAAACGATTGGGAGAGGTTCAAAAGCAAGGAAATTGGATGCCGTATGATTTTAAACTAAAAGACATTTTTTTACCTGCGATCTGCATCTGGTGGGACCAACTCAAAGTAATGCATTATAAACTGCTTAAACCAAAGAAGACGATTACAGGAGACCATTATCGGCCACAATTGATGAAGCCAAGCATTGAAGGATAAGAGACCGCAATACACTGAAAGACATGGTTTTTCTTTAAAATGACATCCCCAAAATCTATCTATCATCATTGGAACATAATGTTCAATGATGATAGATAGATGTATGTAGTTTAGAAGTTTAGGTGCTTCAATAAACAATCAATTAGTTAAAACCAGGGATGCAAAAAGTGCTTCAATAAACAATCAATTAGTTAAAACCAGGGATGCAAAAAGTGCTTCAATAAACAATTAATTAGTTAAAACCAAAACTCCAACTTTAAATCTATATTTTTTCCTGGTTCCCAGAGCTCTAAAAATGTTAAGAGACTTATGATCTGCAATAAGAAGAGAATTCAAAAGATTATATGAGATGAATTAGAATCTATTATTTATCACAAAAGTAGTCTATAAGCTTTTTTAATAAATGAACTTAAAAGACATTAGTGTACAAAGTTGATATTATAATAAAATATCCTTGTGTGTATGATGTATAAAGTTTGAACAAATATGATGCATTTACAGATCGACATACAAGTTACAAATAGGTTTTGCATTGTTTTGATATGCACTGGAAAACTACTTATTGTGAACTAAAGAATTTAACTAAACTTTATGCTTTAACAGGAGTTAAACTATAACAGGAGTTAAACTTTTAACAGGAGTTAAACTTTTAACAGGAGTTAAACTTTTAACAGGAGTTAAACTTAAACTTTTAACAGGAGTTAAACTATAATACACACAAGAAGCTTCTAGAGATTGACAAATACTTTGTCACTTATATGAAACTGATAAAGTTTGGAATTTGTGCAGATATTATTTTTTTGCCAATAATGAAAACTTTGTTGCGACAAATTAACATGTTTTACCAGTATTCACTTTACAGTAGCATGTGTAACATCTTACAAGGATGTTATGCTTACAAAATTTTTTATCAAAGTATCAGCTTAAAAATAAATATTTAATAATTACTAAAGTTCAAATTAAAGAGCATTATTTCCTTACAAAAAAAATGTTTCACACCATCTGGATTGTTGTAATCAGCGTCTTCAGCTTAAAAGTTATTTGTGTATTTGTTTATACTTTATTTTTAAAATGGCAGTTCTATTTTATGTCAATGGGATGGTTTCATCTTTTTCCGAAATAAGTGCACCAAAAACGTCATCCAAAATTTTGTTGACATATTGTCCTTCATTTAAATTTATACCATTTTGTTGAGGGGCACATTGGTGGTACTGTATTTCAAGTGCCTCGCAAACTTTCCTATAAGTAGTAGAAAATCACTTAGCAAAATTTTTTTCATTTAACACTGTGTTTCATCAATAGACTCATCAGAAATCAGAATATATATATATATATATATATATATATATA